GAGGGTGCGTTCGGCAGGGGCCCCAGGGCCGGAGGGTAGGGCGAGCAGAAGGCCACCGCTCAGGATGGTTTCAAGGGAGACTCAGAAGTGCCTTTTCCTGTAGGGGGAATGCGGGGCCGGACCCCAAACCCTCGGACCATTTACCCAGTGTTGCCCAAACTGCTGGCCCTCCTGCCCATGTCCTGTCAGAAATGGCTCCACTGCCAAAGCCACAGCCAGGTAGGAGCTGCCCACCCCCAGAGCTCCTGCCTTCTCTTGCCCGCACTGCCACCTGCTGGCCAGTCCCTTCCCATGCCTTCCCTTCCCCCTCTTGTCTTTTCACTGAGGTCTGGGACTTGTCCCTGCCTCTCTGCCCACAGAGCCCTGATGGTTTAGGGGATAGAAGGACCCCAAGTTGCTCTCCTCCCCTCTGCAGCTTGATCCCTGTGCTCCTCCCCGACCCCATGATCCTTCACCCCCACCCTCCACTCCCACTTTGCTGGGCTCTCCTCTAACAGGTGTCAGAGAATCGTTCCCAGCCATCTTGTTCACTGGCTCTGCCTCCTCTGCTCTGTGCTCCCCAGGACCTCCAGGTGGACACTGCTCTGTTCCCTTTTTCTTTTTTTTAGATTTATTTATTTTTATTGCAAAGTCAGATATACAGAGAGGAGAAGAGACAGAGAGGGAGATCTTCCATCTGATGATTCACTCCACAAGTGTGTGCAACAGTTGGTACTGTGCCGATCTGAAGCCAGGAGCCAGAAACTTCCTCCAGGTCTGGGTCGACCTCGACTGCTTTCCCAGGCCACAAACAGGGAGCTGGATGGGAAGGGGAGCTGCCAGGATTAGAATCGGTGCCCATATGGGATCCCGGCGTGTTCAAAGTGAGTACTTTAGCTGCTAGGCCACCATGCCGCTGGGCCCTGCCATGTTTCCTGATAAGATGAGGAATGGTCACTGAAGGCCGGCAGAGACACAGAGGTCCTGGCTCAGGCCAGTCCAGCCCATCAGGGGACCATTCCATGTCCTCAGGATAACCCCAGCTAGGATCAGGACCTAGCCATAGCTTTCACTGTTGGGTGTCCCCTACACCCGATTTCTCTGTCTGTAAGGATAGGACCCAGATCTAGGCAGGGCACGGGGGCTGCAGGGGCAAAGGCCATTGTGAGGAGCGGGGAGCGAAGAAAAGGCTAGAGCTCAGCTTCTAGCAAGATTTGCTCCTAGACCCCCTTTACATTCTTAAAGCAGGACTTGGGAGACCAGTGGCTTATGCAGTTGACAGCTGTTGATAGTTGCATGTTAGAGATCAGTAGAGAATTATTAAAAGGTTTATTTAACGGTACCAATAATGAACCCACTGTATGAACAGTATAAACCAATAATGGACACATGTGACATTTGTATGAGAAAGAACTGTTTTCCATATGGGAAAGCGTCAGTGAGGTGGGGGATACCATCGGCCCATTGACTCTAATCACCTGTGGTCACAAGCCACGTTGTGTGTCTTCCAAGACCCCGTGCAGTCAGCAACGGACAAGAGTGCATCTCTTCGTGGAACTCATGCTGGCCCCTTGGCCACTGGAATTGTCTTGGGGACGCCCTGAGTTCAAGGCCCACTCTGAAGGCTGCTGACCTGGAGCCGAGGTCAGCAAGGGCCCCTAGGATGCAGTCAGCTCTTCACAGCTTCCCTCCTGGAAATCGTTCAGCTCTGGGAGGCACCCACAGGTGATACTCCATGAGGGGTGTGGTTGCACTGCAAGAAAACTTGGCTTACAAAATTAGGTGGGTGGAGCTGGCCTTGGCCCACAGGCCGTGGTTTGTCTATGCAAATCTAGAATTAGAATATATTTGCAAAGGGCAGCGGGTTAGGCTGCTACCTTAAAGCTAGCATTCCATGTGGGAGTGCCAGCTGGAGTCCTGGCTGTTCCAGTTCCCATCTAGCTCCCTGCTAAAAGTCTGGGAAAGCAGCAGACGGCTCACCCATGTGGGAGACCTGGCTTGGACCTGGCCCAGCTGGCTATTGTGGCCATCTGGGGATTGAACTAGCAGATGCAAGATTTCTCTCTGTGTGTTTGTCTCCCTCTTTCCCTCTGGAACTCTGGCTTGTAAGTAAATAAACACATTTTAAAGAAGACGAAGGAAGTAAGCACAGGTTCTTTCAATGCTGGAGGAGGCCACAGGGCAGTTTTTCTCAGCACCTGCACCATGGCCTCACGCTGTGTGCTGGGCACGTGGACATGGGACATGGGGTGAGTGGGAGGATAACCAAGCAGCCCGGGCTAGTGTGGGACAGCTCAGCTCCACCTGCTAAGCCAGGCTGCCTTCCTGCCATGTGACTCCCTGCACCTATTCCTTGTGGAGCTTCTTGCCCCCATGCCCCTGTGCCTGGCAAATAAAAGTAGAACTGAACTTGAACTTCTGCTTGCTCTGCTTCTTCTCCTTCTTTGTAAATACTTATTTATTTTTGTTGGAAAGGCAGATCAGATTTACAGAGAGAAGGAGAGACAGAGAGAGGTCTTCCATCTGCTGACTCATTCCTCGAATGCCCACATAGGTTAGAGCTGAGCCAATCCTAAGACAGAAGCCAGGAGCTTCTTCTGGGCCTCCCATCCATATGGGTGCAGGGTTCCAAGGTTTTGGGCCATTCTTTATTGCTTTCTCCAGCCACAAGCAGGGAGCTGGAAGCGAAGTGGAGCAGCCAGGACACAAACCAGTGTCCATATGGGATCCCAGCACTTGCAGGATGAGGATTTAGCCGCTGAGCCATTGCACTGGGCCCTCTGCTGCTTCTGAAGGCTCTGGGCCACCCCATGCCTCTCAGCCCCTGGGGGAATAAGGGTCCCTGGTGAGCAAATGTTTTCTCCTTCTGTTGCATACTTAAAGGAGGCTGGCTACTCCTAGTTTGGGATGGTTCACAGATCCAAGATTCCAACCCCAAGGTCAGGATGTGCTTATGAGAGAGGGAAAAGCCCAGTCTCTTCTTTCTGGTTGTCCCCACTTGTCCCCGGGGTCCCTGCCCCCTGCCAGCTGCTCTGGTTCACCCTGGCCTGACTCTGCTGGGTGCTGTCTAGCAGCAGGAGACAGTCTCAGGACTGGCTTTAGGTACTAAGAAAAAATATTCTGCCTGCAAAGAGCCCAGAGCAGCCTGAGGCTGCGGCATGCTGGGATCTGCTTCCTTTAACCCCTCACCAAGGTCACGTGGCCACCCCTGCCCCTCCCCCGAGACTCTGATGTGCTAAGGCTTGAGTCCCGGTGTGGGCAGCAGAGCAGCCCCGGGCTCCTGAAGGACTTGCAGCACACCAGGCCAGAGCCAGCGCTTTGCTCCCCACCTCGGGAGAAACCTGCTCTGCTCCCTCGTCCTGCCACCCCAGAACCCCGGGCGGGAGGATGCTGCACTCCCTGACTTTAAAAATAGAACCCTCACGCTGGACTTTTATGGTCTTGTGAAGAGTGCTTGCCTGCGCCCTCCCGCACCTGGTCTCCTGCCCCCGCCTGGCCCCACGTAGCCGCCCCGAGTAGCTCTGCTGGAGCTGGCCAGCGGCCCTCCTCCGACTGGCTCCAGCTCCTGGGCAGATTTACGAGTTCGGCCTTGGCTGAGGGAGGCCCGCTCCGCATGGCTCCCAGCCGCGGTCCAGCTGCTCTCCCACAGCCCCGTGCAGCGCGCGGCTGGGACATCTGCGTCTCATCTTTTACCTTCCCCCCACCCCAGCCTGTTGCTGAGTCACTCCTTCAGCCCCCTTGTTCTCCTGCTACCTCCAGACGAGGTCTGAGTCTAAGGATAATCCATAGAGGACCCTAATCTGCCTGGTCCGTCAGTGCTGAGGCACTGAGTTGGCACAGAGTGGTGGTGGCTTCCACTCCTGGACTTGGGCCCCAGGTTTAAAGCCACACAGCATCTGGAAAGCTTAACCCCACTGTGTGTGTAGACTGGTTTCTTCTTGTATGATTGCTTCAGTGCCAGAAATGAGCACCATTAAAGCTCTATCCCATTCTGGCACCCATGACTGGAGCTAAAGTGAGCCTGGCAGGGCAGCGGGGAGGTCATGACCACAGGAGGAACTGGCATGGCATCCTCTCCGTTCCTGGGTGGTCAAAGTGACCCCACAGCCAGTGACCCCACAGCCAGCAAGGGCCCAAGCAGCCTTCTGAGCCCGGGCTTATCTTCCCTGGAGCTTGGGTCCTCAACACCATGAGGACCCCTGGGAAAAAGACAAGCATTTCTCTTTGAGGGTCCTTCCAGGAGGTGACCACAGCTCTCGAGAGCCCACGCAGACCAGGGCTTCAGTTGCCTGCTGCAGCCAAGGCTGAGCTGCCTCTGGGCTGGCAGCTGGGGTTACCTGCAGACTGGGAGGTACTAACACAAGCTTTATGGCCCGACCTGTGGGTGAGTTCAAGTCGAGAGGAGTGGAAGGGTGCAGGATCCAGAGAGTAGGGAAATGAAGCAGTGAGGGGCAGCTGTGAGCCACACAGCCGGACGTAGGACCCCTGACTCCCGCAGCCTCTTGTGTGCTGGGCAAGCACCTTGAAGGTGGCACCAAAAGGCATATTCTCCCCAGCTGTGGGAGCCCAGCCCAGAGTTGCCAAGAGTCTCTCAGACCTGCTGGCTTTCCCATCAGCACCTCGCTGGATCCTTGCTTTGTACCTGAGCAGCAACATTTGTCTTCTTTCTCTAGGCAAGTGCTTTGTAGATGTCTCAGGCAAGGAGGGTGAGGAGTGCCTCCCGTACTCAGCTGTGAACTCAGTCAGACCCCGTGCCCCCTCACTGTCCTCAGGCTGCCCCAGAGGAGCCATTAGGGAGCCCCTCCCAGCTGCCAAGAGTGGGCATCGTCCCCTCTTGGGGAACCTTCCACTGGGGCAGCACCTGCTGCTCTTCTCTTGTCCCTCTGCTGGCCAGGACTCAGGAGCTGAACCCGCGTCACTGCCCACAGCCCAGGTCCTGGTGAAGGCCAAAAACACCTGGGACAAAGTCTGAGACCTTCCATGAGAGTTGCATTCGGGGAGAACAAGGCAAGTGTGCCTGCTCATTTGTCACCAAGAGCTGGCGACAGCGGCTTGGTGGAAAGGCTGGTGTCTGCCTCTTCAGAGTCTTGGGATGCCACCTCTGTGTCCTTCGTTCTGTGGCTGGAAGTGATGGTGGAGGTGGAGTCAAGGCTTGAATATGCCAGGCCTCCAGCGTAGAGACGTGATCGCATGGGCCACTTCTGCAAGACACAGGTAGAAAAGGCACATGGCCAGGCAGCCCTCCCTTCCTGGTCCAGCATCTGTGGCCTCCCCTCGTGTCCTGGCCCTATACAGCCAGGTCCTGGAGAGGAGTGCCCCTAAACCAGGAGAAACATGGGCAGGAGGGCAAGTGCCCTGGGCAGAGCTGGCAACAGCCAGGGGCTCCTGGCAAAGCTGTGGAGCTGTGCCAATTTCTCTCTACCCTGGAGACCTCAAAGATTGCCGATTCTCTGGCAGGAGTGTGGGGAGTCCCAAGAGCCCCCAGGGCGACCCTGTCCTGAAGTCTTCCCTGGTCCCCAGCAGCCCCTCCACCCAGGGGCCACAGGCTTTACGTCCCAGCTCACTGACTTGCCAGACCCACGCAGGCCCTCAGTTGCTTCCACGTTCTTATCCATCACCCACTACATGCCAGGGCATTACAGCTAAGGACACAACTATGTCACCCTATAATGTGGCATGCATGTGCTGCTATTGGGGTTTCCCACTGGCCTCATATGGATGTCAAAGTTTTGCGTTTTAACCCTGCTTGCATGAAAGAAAGGAAAAATATGTATATAAAAGCCAGAGCAGGTTTGAAGGCATTTGAGAACTGTGACATTTAGGACAGAAGCATCCTTTGAGGACATAAATTTGACTCCATGACTCTGTCACACTCACAGGAAAAAGACAACACAAGTGTACCAGCTCCTTCCCGTGCCATCCAAGCAGTCTGCACAGTGACTGCCATCAAGTCCCACATCCTTCCCCATAGAGCTGTCACCGTCTGGCTCGCTCACTGAGGTCAAAGTGCACTACAGCACTCAGTCCAGCTCCTGGAGGAGGGGGGCTGTTACTCTGCTGGGGGGTGTGGTGGTGATTATTGTTGGTGACACTTCTCCATCACCAGGGGCAGCTCTGTAAGGGGAAGGAGGCCCATATGAGCTCCCATTCTGCTTCTAACACAGCTGAGGTTCTATAAACCTGGGCTTCTCTCTGACAAAGGGGGGTGTGAGAAACCTCTGCCCTGCCCCATCCCCTCACCACTACCAAACAGCTTGGTGGCTTCTAGAAGTTTGACTTTCTCGAGCCACCATTCTCCCAGAATGCACATGGACCTGGGGCTGCACTGGTTGCCACTTCCTCCCATTTCCTTTCCTTTCCCAGGCCCCAGCCCTGCAATCCTGCAATCTGGTTTTTTTCTTTTTTTTTTCTTTTTTTTTTTTTTTGCTTGTTTGTTTGTTTTTCCCCTTGCCACTAAAACTCTCTAGAATGTTTTCTTCCTCCTGGGGGAACCGATTCTTGGGAACCCATTTCAAGGCACTGCTCTATAGGGTCAGCCCCACCCAGTGAGCCATCCTTAAACTCTCTCCCAAAGACAGTGGCAAGAAGCTGGCCCCCAGTCAGCTCTGCCCAGGGCTGGGGACCAAGTCTACTGTTCCATGTTTCTCCCACCCCAACCAGCATCCCACCTGCACCGCTGTCCCCACGACCTACCTTGAGAGGGTGCAAGTAGCGAAGTCCACGCAGGAAGGGTGGCCAGGCGGGGCCGGGCAACTCATGCCCGAGCGTGCGTGTGAGGTGGGCGATGTAGCTGGTGGCCAGCACGAGTACATCCAGCTTGGAGAGCTTGGTGTCGGGAGGCACGGCGGGCAGTGCGGCCTGCAGGGCCAGGAAGGCCTGGCGCAGGGTCCTGACCCGGCTCCGCTCCCGCGCCGCGTTCTCGGGACTGGTTTCACTCTGCACAGGGGACCCCAATTTCTACCCCGTGAGTGGCTCAGACACAGACCACCTCCCACCAACACCACACATAACCCCTACCAGACCTCTAAAAGAGCAAGGTCTCTTCGTGGGGAGCCCGTGATCACAATCATGGGGCTGACTTTTGACCCAACTGGAACACAAGATAAGGAGGCTGCAGCAAGGTGCAGAGGAGAGGACCCAGGTGAGGCTCAAGTCCCACGCCGCCCCCAACTGCTGCTGGGGACTGGGTGGGGGGGATGATCACATCCTTCCTCCTGGCTTTGGGGTCCTTCAAGAGCAGTGAGCTGAACCAGGGAGCCATGGGCTTGAGGGCAGCTGTGGCTTGGCCCAATATCCCCACGCAGCGGGGAGGGGTCCCCACTGCTGTGAGACTGAGTGTGGCTCTATCCATCATCCCTCCAGGCAGCCTGCATTGTCCCTCTGCTCACCCCCCAGCCTCAGCCTCTCCCCCAGCTCCCTCTGGGGGCACCGATTTGCTTACCCTGCCTGGAGCCCGGCTCCCTGCCCTGGCCCCACGGGGGCTCGGGACAGCCCGGCCCCAGCTTTGGTCGCTCCACCTTGCGCCTTCCCACGGGTCTTGCCTTGTCTTGCCGACGCTGCTCCTCTTCTTGCCAGTGCCTGGCAGTACCCGCGCTCTGGCCTTGGTGCGGCCATGGCCCACTCCTGGTGTGGCTGGTGCCCCTTGGGCCTCCCTCTGGGACATGTCACTTCCTCTCTCAGGCCACGCAGGCTGCAACCCACACAGCAGGAATACAGTGCTCTTGTAGGGAACCCTTGGGGGCTCCAACTAGCTGGGGCAGCAGCCGGCCATCCTGCTAGCTATGTCTACATCTGAGGAAGCCGGCGCCAACTCAGTCCTGCTTGGTCCTTGCTCTGGGAAGACTGCCCACCCCCGACACAGCCCCCGCAAAAAAAGCCTCCGCCCACCTCCCAACCCAGAGGAGTGGTGGGGGCGCTGCATGCTGGGAGTGGCCAGCCCTGGGACGAGGCCCATGCTGAGGAAGGGTGGGTGGGAGGAGGTGTTCTTCCAGGCTGTGCTTCCAATAGTGGCCCCTAGAGGTTCGGGACTTTTGGGGTTCAGGTCTGCGGAGGGACCCTGAATCTCTCCTCTGTGCCAACAGTCAATGCATACACTCCCAAAACGCCCTTTCCTCCCTTTGCCAATGCATATGACCTTACATGACACAGGCCGCTGCTTTCTGCTCTCCAAACACACCTCCCATTTCCAACCCAGTGCTGGCATAGTACATCACCTTGCCTTGCCCTGGGTGCACCTGCCCCTAGCCCCTAGCCAGGGTTCAGCTGGGAGGTTTTGCCCTGATTTTGTGAGGCCTTTGGCAAGCCTCACAGAGCCCAAAGCACACCCCCTTCCTCCGCCCCATGTCATTGTTGGATTGGTGGCACCACACTAGCTAGTTTCTGACTAGCCCCAAGTTCCTGGATCGCTGTGTGCCAGGCACTGTATTAACACTTCAAGGCAACCTTCTAAAAGACTCGTGTTAGAAATGGGAACATGTATCAGGAGATGAGACAACTTGCCTAGTGCCAAACTCCTAGTAAATAACGGAGTGTGATGAGAAGCCAGGCAGGCAATCGGACAGGAAGGCTGCCCTGTACCCTAGGAGTCTGCCTTCTGTGGGCCAGACATGTGTCTGTCCTCAACTGGCCACGAGGTCTTAAAAGGCAAGGACTGTGACATTGCTGAACTGCAACAGCTAGCCAGGAGATAGGCAAAAGAAATAGCCATTTGGCCACAATAGCCTTCTTCCTATCCTCCAATTATAAACTTTGCTTACAGCAGAATCCGACATGACCCTTGTGATCCCAATCTTGATCTCTAGGACAGACCAAAGAATGAGAGAGAGAATACCAATACAGGTGTTCACACAGTGGGAGAGACCCCCTCCCCCACAGCCAACCAAAGTGAAAGGGGAACAGAAAGATGAAGAACTATGACCTGGCCTAGCCTCTGAAGTCCCTGGTTGGGCAGGGTCAACCAGCCTCAGCTGGCGGGGCTGTTATGAAGGTCCACCATCCCAGGAAGCAGGTATGTAGTGCACCTGTCAGCATCTCTGTGTTGAGGAAGCTCCAACAGATGCTGCTGGCTCAGAAACAGAAGGCAGCCAGGGAAGTGGAAGCCCTCCGGGAGCCAGCCAGGACTAGGGAGCTGCAGTGCAGGTGGGAGAAGATGAGAGCCCTCTGTGATGTAGACATGGAGGAGCCTCCTGCGATGTAGACGTGACTGCAGGGCCACTGCAGTCACAGCTTCACATAGAGCCACGGGTTTTGTTTCCAAGGCCTCCAGAGAAGGGGAGAAGGTGCTGCTCTCCCAGACTCCTCTTCCTTCGTGGCCTGCAGAGTCCTCTTGGCCTGCGTTTTGGGAGGACACAACCGGACAGAAGGAACATCGGAGAGGTGTCTCTAGCAGCCAGCTCCTTTTTTGTTGTTGTTTTTAAAATTATTATTATTTTATGATACAGTTCCATAAATCCTGGGATTTCTCTTATTCCCTCCCAATTTCCTTCCCCCGTCACTGAGTTTCCCTGTTTTATTACTATAGTATAATCTTTCATAAACAGTCATATATCCATCATTGCAGACTTGGGTAATGGCAGAGTCCAGCATCTTATTGTCAAGATACAGTAAACAGTTTCATTGGGAGTCTATCTTTGATCTGGAAGTAGAAATGCATACTGCATTGTATCCTCACACTGGATATAATAGTCTCCATTACACAGTTACTATACATTCCCTTAAATGAAAAGCCGCAATACAAAACAACATGAAGAAAAATAAAAATGTACAATGCCATGAAGTTAAATAACATGCTACTAGATACGATAGTCTCCATTACACAGTTACTACACATCCCCTTAAATGAAAAGCCAGAAAACAAAATCACCAACAGGAAGAAGAAAGAAATTAACAACACCATGAAGTTAAATGATATGCTACTGAATAATTAATGTATCGCTGAAGAAATTAAAAAGAAAATCAAGAACTTTCTTGAAGAAAATTATGCTAATATATGATCTACGAGTCACTGAAGAATTTAATCAGAAGAAAGTCTTTGAAGAGATGAGACTAACAATAAAAAATTCAAAATCCATGAGATATAGTTTCTGCTGGTCTTTGTTAGTGAGATAAGTCTTCTGTAGGCAACAAATAGATGGGTTTTGTTTTTTAATCCAGTCTACAAATCTACGACATTCAATTGATGAGTTTAAGCCGTTCACATTCAGGTATGGGTGGTAATTTGGTCCTATAATTTTGGCAATGGGTTGTTTATTGATTTAGTCTTCTGTTGTTATTTCACATTTACCTTTGGTTTTGTGGGTGCTATTCCTCTTCTCTGTCAAGAGAACATTTTTAGTATCATTTGTAGGGCAGCTTTGGAAGAGGCAAATTCTTTTAGCTTTTCTTGACTGTGAAAGAATTTTATTTCATTTTCAAAGACATAGGAAAGCTTTTCTGGGTACATTATCATGGGCTGACAATTTTTTTTCTTTTAGAATCTGGAATATGTCACTCCATTCTCTTCTAATCTGTAGAGTTTCCTGTGAGAGGTCTCCTGTGAGTTTAATTGGCATTCCTTTATATGTCAATTAATTTTTTTCACATGCACATCTAAGGATCTTTTCCTTATGTTCAATTGAAGAGAGCCTGATGATCATGTGTCATGGTGAAGCTTGCTTTTGATTAACCCAGTTGGGAGTTCTGTGCCCCTCCTGGATGTTGTTTCCCAATTCTTTCTCTAGATTAGGGAAAGTTTTCCTTATTTCTATCAGCTTTTATTTGATTCATTTCCTGTGTGACATATTCCTTAAATTCCTTGAATGCCTGCTTTACATGCTTCTCGTTGTTGATAAGAAGCTTTATAACAAGTGTTTTGAATTCTGTACGCCCCATTTTCTTGATGTTTTTCTCAGTTGATTCTGAGACCAGTAAAGGCTTTTGCTCCTTTGCAGGGGAGTCTTCAGTAACATTCATTGTGCCTTTCTCTTCTTTTGTTCTTGGTCATTGTACTTCTGGTTATCAGATTCTTCTCCTTGAGGCAGCTTTCTAAGCTGTGTCACACACAATCTACAGTTCAATTTTACTTATTGCAGTTGGTACACAGCTCTTTGTTTGCAGCCACTTGTGCCACTCCCTCCAGCAAGTTCCAGGTCTAGGTTCTTATGTTAGATTTCCACCATGGTCTCTGTAGCTCCAGCTCCTGGCTCACCAGCTCCTTTGTTTTTTTTTTTTTTTTTTTTTAAAGATTAATTTATTTATTACAAAGTCAGATATACAGAGAGGAGGAGAGACAGAGAGGAAGATCTTCCATCTGATGATTCACTCCCCAAGTGATTCACTCCACTCAACTGGCTTCCCAGGCCACAAGCAGGGAGCTGGATGGGAAGTGGAGCTGCCGGGATTAGAACTGGCGCCCATATGGGATCCTGGTGCATTCAAGGTGAGGACTTTAGCTGCTAGGCCATGCCGCCAGGCCCTCACCAGCTCCTTTGTAATAAAGCCCCAAAACCCTGACCAAACAAGCAACCAACCACCCTGACTATAATAGCAGAGCAGGAATTAAATGCATGTTGTTATATTCATACCATGGATATCCACATCATGGAATGAAGAGTAGTAATGAAAAGAATGACACAGACCTCTGTACAGAAACATGAAAAACTCTCTGAGAAGTACAGCTAAGTGAACAAAGCCTAGCCCTAGATCAACATGTATAATGATAAGATCCCTGCCTAGTAAAAACAAAACAAAGCAAAATCCAAAGAATTGGGGTGGGTATTTGTGGCAGTGGTGTTAACACACCATTTGGGACCTGCATCCCTTAGCAGAGTGCCTGGCTTGAGTCCTGGCTCTGCTCTCAATCCAGCTTCCTGCTAAGGCACAACGTGGGAGGCAGCAGAGGATGGCTCAAGCACTTGACTCATGCATGGGAGACCTTGACAGAGTTCCTGGCTTCTAACTTTGGGCTGGTCTAGCTTCGGATCGTATGGGCATTGTAGAAAAGCTGTGTCTCTGCCTTTCAAATAAAATGAAAATAAATAATAAATGAAAAATGTACACTCTCTCCACCGACAAAAGATACAGGCAGGAAAGTGTTTGTGCTTATGTAAGTGTATAAACAGGAGACTGGTGCATAGTCAGCACTCTTCAGTTACAGGCAAACAGAATGAAACCTGTACCTCAACTCATGGCACGTTAGCATATTTGGTCAAGCTGGGCCTCTGGGCAGTCTGCCTTTGCCCTTTCCTCCCTCCTGTCCATCTGTTCCCTTTCATCCCACTCCCATTATTCTCCGTGGTCAGAGGCAACCATTCCAAAATGTTCAATGTGTATCCTTTTGGTCAATAGGTGTGGTGGTTTTAAAATGCATACACACATCCTTTGACAACTTCTGCCTTCAAAAGTGGGCTCCCCTGGAACGTGGCTACAGTTGGTGAATTTACAGACAGGAGGTTACAGAAGTGTTGCTGAGCCACATGGGAAATCAGGATACACTCTCTGTGTAGTGGTCACTCTCCCTGGAGGAAGTCTGCTGCTATGTGAGCCCCACAGAGGCCCATATGGTGATGGATCAAGGTGTGTGGTAGCCAACATGAACTTACTGGCCGTGTGAGTAAGCCAGCCCAGAAATGTGTCCTCCCGCCCCATCTGCGCCTTCAGATGACTGCAGCCCTGGTTAACGGCCTG